CCGCCGCCGCCGCCGCCCCGGGAGCCGCGGTTCCCTCCTTGGCCCCCGCCCGAGCCGCGGGGCCCGCCATCGCGGCCCCAGTGCTGATGATAGTCATAGCTCATTGTCCCAACGGACCACAGCGCGAGAGAACCTGCAACCGCCGCAAATGGCGACCGGGCCCGGAAGCGAGTGCACGTCCACTTCCACTTTAGTTCCGGCGCCCAGCGCGAGAAGGCGGGCCCTTGAGCGTCACAAGCATCCACTTCCGGTGACGTCACGGGCATGCTTCCGTGGAAGTCGTGGGCTGGGGGTGTTCAGATGAAGTTATGTTTGATATCCCCTCAGTGGTTGACCAGTGTGCGTCTGGAGGGAGGGCGAGCTGAAGGCTCGTAGGTTTGCTTTCCTCACTCCCAACATGTGAGGAAATGGGTTTTGTTTTCCTATCCCTCGTGGTAAAATCCGGAGTTTGTGTCCAGTTAGGCCCAGGATACTACATGTGGGTTGACACAAAACCTGTGGTATGATGCATTTTCTCCTAAAAGCCCCTGAAGAAATGAAATGAGTTCATCATACCATTTTTCTTTTCCTAGTGCTATGTCTTGGAAATAGCCTGGCACCTGATTCAAATAGTAAATTGTCCCTGTCTCTTTTAATGGGTTATTATTTACTACCTTTATCCAATAGCATAAGATGAGCATGTCTACCCAAATTAAGTGCCGAGCAGTGAGGCAATTGAAATAAAACATCAGTTGAAGATTCATATTTTTGTATGAAGCCATCTATTGTTGATTGACCAGGCTACTGAGTGTCTAGCACAAGCTGTTCTTGAATAATCAAGTGCCTGGGCCACACGGGCTTGGGTGTTCTCCAGGGGATTTCCAGTTTATGTCCACGTCTAACTGATTTAAACGTTCTGGGGATACTCACTGAATAAGACAAGTACGGCATCAGCTTTCATTTGCTTATAGTGTTGAGGAGAAGATAAAGACTAAAGAAATCAGTGTGCGATGAGTTAAGAAAGAAAAATGCCATTTCCTGTGGAAAACTGTCTTTGTGGTATAATACACACACATATATATATATATATATATATATATAGAGAGAGAGAGAGAGAGAGAGAGAGAGAGAGAGAGAGAGAGAGAGAGAGAGAGAAGCATTTGATTTCCTAAAATCACTTATCTGCCTAAAAGCACAGCCTCCCAAAAGAACTCAATTGTCATAAATCCCTTCCCTGGGGGAGGAACCAGGGAAGGTTGACTTTTACCACTGGAGACTAGAAGTCAGCACCACACCTAAACAGATATTGTCACAAAACTATCATCTCCTATTTATTGTCATAAGAGCCCATTTATCTTTCCTAAAAATCTTTTCTTTTCCCCGTAAGTACCTTTTTCCTCTTCTCCTCCCTCTGTTAAAATGGTATATAAACCCCAAGTTCTAACTGCCTTCTTGAGTCACATTTTTCTGTGAACTTCCTTAGGTGTGTGACTAAATCTGTCTTTTCTCTTGCTTATCTGCCTTTTGTCCATTTAATTTGCAGGCCCCCAAGAACTAAGCCTAGGAGGTATAGGAAAAGTTTTTTCCTCCTCAACAACCATGAGATGTTACAGCAAAAAGAATATAGTTTTGAAGTCATGTAAGTCCTTTCTAAGGAATGAGAAGTTAAGTAGTGACTTTTGAGATAGATAGACTTTCACGAGACTAATGGGGAAGTTATTACAGGTTGAGGGGAAAACGTGCATGAAAAGAGATGATGAAACCTTGGCGAGTGAGGAAACTACACTGAAACTTAAAGACTGATGGAAAAGGCCAAAGAGGTAGGAAGTAGCCTGATCATGGAGGACCTGATATGCCACATAAAGAATAAGAGATCACTTTAAGTAGTGGAGTGATTACTTTGGCTGCTTTGCATAGAAAGGAATGGAGGAGGCAGGAGTAGGTGTAGGGAGACTAGTTAACAGGCTGTGATAAAGGAGAGGCAGCATGGGATGACCTAGCAAGGTGGGGTATGGGGAGGACTGGAATTCAGAGAGGATAAAATTATTAAGATGTGGTGATTCATTGAATGTGGAGAATTAGAGGAAAGGGTCAGAGAGATGACTTTCAAGCTTAAGGTTTGAAAGACTATCAAATGAGGAGATACCATATCCTGAGATGAGGAACATAGGATGAGGACAATTTTTTTGGTTTGGGGGTGGGAGAGTTAAGTTAATGTGTTTAATGCATGTAGAGTTTGAGGAACCTATGAAACATACAAATTGAAATGTCTAGAAAGCATTTGGTTATATAAGTTAAAAGTGCAGAGAGAACAAACTGAGATTATACAGTTTGGAAGTTCTTGGCAATTAGTAAAACCATAGGGTTGAATAGTTTGGATTAAAGTACTCATTGGGCACACCTGACGTGACAAGTTGTGAATTACTCAGTAAATAAAGTTAGGTAGGCATATTGGAGATGGTGGTGGCGAGGGCAGAGGGCTGGATAGTGTGAATTGTTAGGTTAGAAATCATTATGGACTGAATATGTCCCCTCAAAATGTATGTGTTGAAGCCCTAATGCCCAGTGTGACTG